GCAGTGAGCCAAGCCTACCACCTCAGGAGTGGATTCTCCATATACTGTTGGCCAAAATATCCTAGAACAGTGAGACAGGTAAGTTGGAAGATGTTTACAGTATTTAAATGCCACCAATTCTTTAAAGGACCCCTGATCCCCCTATCCAACACATTATTTAGGTACTTTATTATGGGCAGTGTAAGCTGAACTGCTGTTTTTTCCAACAACATTATGCCCAGTGCCCACTATACTTCACTCTTGACAGCTAAGGTGCTGACAAAGCTGGAGGAGGCAACTTACTGGCGTATCGTATGCGACTTAGTTTGCTTTGTTTAAAATGAACTTGTACTTTGCACATAATATCTACCAAAAACTGTCTGCACTTCTCCACACTCTGCCACCTTCCCAAATTGCCGCAACAGCGTCCTACACTATCTGCACAAGTTCTGAGATCCTGTGTGTGCAAACCTGCACAAAACTCAAGAAGTATTCTTCATCGTGCACGGCATCCCTCAGGACTGAGTACTGGCTGCCCAGAATAGAACCATGAATCATGAAGGGGCATATGCCCCAAAATTGTAATTACTTAGTCCTCTGGCAGTGGATTGGAGCACAAGGGGAGCACAGGGTGATGATACTCATATAAAGTTACCCTGTTACTCTGCCTGAAGTGAAGTATAGATTCATTTTAAAGTCCTCTTATGGACTGTACAGATTTAATGTACGTATAATATTTTCAGTTCCGATGCTGAACTAGTGTTCATTAGGAGAAATGTTTGGCTCTTGGTGTAACTTAAAGTATATTCCAGAGCAGAATGATGGATTCTGCTGGTCTAACAAGCAATATTTCTACACCAACAAGAACTCTTCTGCCCTTAGAAGCATACAGACATAAACACAGCCACAGAACTAGCAATAATATGCAGGGCTGATAAAAATATTTTAAACTTTGGAGCCAGAGAAATATTTATGGGAGACTGCCAAGGGTGTATCCCACGTTAAAGAACCAAAAGAAGCATAGAAA